TTTTTTAAATAAAATGAAGATTTTTTGTATAATTGACCCTTTTTTCTGATTTTGTGTCACTAATTCATAGTGTTTTTGCTATTTTTGTGTAGCAGATTAGTTTGTTTATTATTCTCAACACAAAAAAAGCAGGTAACTGAACCAACTGGGTAATAGTCGATGATTGAAAGATTAAAAACTAAACAAATTTGTATAAACATTTTTTTTCTTTTAAGAATATTTCAAAAAAAGTCTATGACAGTTATGCTGCAGATGTACTAAATAATATCTACGTTTCTTTAGCTATGAACCAAAACACTATGAATTAGAGGCACAAAATCCGAAAAAAGGGTCAATTATACAAAAAATCTTAATTTTATTCAAAAATAATCAAAATCCAATATCTCAGTATGGGTTTGTTTGGGGTGGGGTGTTTCATGGTCAAATCAGCTAGGAATGATGAAAACTAAAACCCCTTAAAGGATCTAGGTCGACTTAACCTGTAACCCTGTATATTATTAGCTTATTTGTGTACTAATACTAGAGGTAGTCATTAATACCGAGCCAGACACTCAACAACGGCACTACGCTCAAAAGCATTGTCGGACTCGGTATACCTTGGAAAGGTGTATCCGGGGTACTCAAATTTCGCTGGCGATGTCTAAGTATTGGTTCATCGCAAGATACACTACAGCAGGACAAGTGCATTTGCATGTATTTGTGTTAACTGAAACTTACTTGTGTTTTAAAATTAGTGACTTTATTTTATTGGTGTGAATGATATCTCTATCAGTTGAAATATCTCTCCTCTCTCTCTCTCTCTCTCTCTCTCTCTCTCTCTCTCTCTCTCTCTCTCTCTGTCTCTCTTCGTGTTCCAAAAGGTTGTACTATGGCTATGGACCTAAACAACTAAGGCAAATAAAAACAACAAAATTTTCGATTCGTCTGCTATGTGCTGACCAAAATCTATTTATTAATTAATAAGTCCGTTTCGTACTAGAGAATTAGTATTAGTTCTTGCACTCTGTGTAGGCGTATCCTGAAACACAATTTATCACTAATATTTACTACATGTACAGGATCACAATTTATAGTTTTATTTTATAACTTCAGTGTAAAACTTGTTGAAAATACATACTGACAATGAAACAACCCAAGGTATATGAAGATACAACTTCAATCTTCAATCAATCATTCAGCCTATTAGTAATATACGATCCAGAAGCGTTAATTATTAGTGCACTTAATACCTTAAACAGAAATAAATGCATGAGGTATGCATCTCTATTATTTTCTTGAAAGAATCTTAAGGGATAATTACAACTTATTTGTATAACTAAGTAATGAATAGTTTGGTGGCTACTTATCATGCACACAGTACTTATTCCACCATGTCGAGAAATGGAGAGTCTTGGGATTATTTTGCGACACACACTATTATTTACGCGAAACAATCCAATATATTCAGGCTCCGGTATTGCAAAAACATCTTGCATTTCCTGAAGAGTCTCACTTCGCCGACGATATGAAAACCTTTCTAAAACACGTGCATGCTCCAAAAAGTTTTCAGAAAGGCCTAAATCTCCAATTTTTCATTAATTTATTAATAATATAAACTAGATTAACTGTAAAATGTTGCCCTTGAGTAATAAAATCTGCTTATTTGACGTGTAGGAATTCACTCTTTGCAAACCATTTTACGAATTTCCATTCAAAAGTGTCATATTAGATGAATTGCAAATATGAAACACTTTCCGTTCATATTATGAATCATCAAAATGTTGTCTTTTTATGTCATGACAAATGTCACATATTATGATTCAGATATGAAACATACAATGTTACCTTTTTAGCCCCCGGAAGCTGTCCCATGATGGCATGCGGGTTGCCTATCTGGACATTCTTACCTTATACTTAAGTGACAGGGTTGTTCAGAGAGTCGAGGTGAACGGAATGTTTGTGTCCGATCTGATTACGAGTTATTATTTTTATTTACAACACAAAATGTTAGACATGTAAAAACCAGCGTACTCATCAAGGCCGAGGAGTGGACTCCTCGGCACTTATATTGTATTTTATATATATTATATTATATAATATACTCCACTATAATATAATATACATATTATATTATAGTGGAGCCTATAAGTATTGTGGTATATTATACATAATATCAACACAAGACGTTACAGTTCGTTTACATGTCAATTTGAGGTGTTTCGAAACTTAAACTTTTAATAAAAAAAAAAACTACTTAGATGATAATCAGGTTTGGGAACTAGCAGCTGTAACGTATGTACAGGTCATATTGACATCTTTTTTATACATTTTGACATTATTATTTAATGTGACATTGTTTTCATTTGACTTTTTTTTGACATTTACTTAATTTCCCTTTTTATTTTATTTAACAATACATAATGCAACGACCATCTGAGACCTGGCATGGTCATTTATCTTCTAATTACCATTACCCATTTTCTGACAGTTTGAGTATTTGTGCCACTCAAATGTTCTTTTGGTTGTTATTGTTCGTCGGATCAGTCAGCTCCGCCTGTTAATTGAGCTGATTGTAAACCGACACATGCGTACTGCCGTCAGAACGTATCTGCTTAAACTGTTGTGGTTCTTTCCTCAAAAAGCCACTACAGAACGACTTGCACAGTACCATATTAATCGTTTTTATATATTTGTCTAGACTTTACTTTTAAAGGAATTGGCATTTCTTCTCAGAAATCTCATTTCTAGTCATGGTGAATGTCGGCCTCATCATTCGCTTAATAACATTGACCTATCAAAGTGTGACCCTGTAGCTTATTTGCAGAAATAAATTCACTTGTTTCATTTGTATAAAGGAATTGGATAATGTGGGTAAACTGTCTGTGTGTAATGTGGTACACTGTCTGTGTGTAATGTGGGTATACTGTACGTATGTAATGTGGATACTGTCTGTGTGTAATGTGGGTATAGTGTGGTTATACTGTTGTGTCTAGTGTGGGTGTCGTAGCTCTGTCGGGTTATTTCAAATAAAAACAGAAGACTGCACAATTAATAGGTTTAATTACTACATATCAGAATCAAGACCGGCTCGCACAGAAATGCCCGAATGCTATGGCTGGCGTGTGTCGATGAAGAAGAAGCGCGGCGCTCGCGCGGCCGCCGTCCCACGCGTCGCCGCCTCTATGGTCGATGGCCATACTAATGCGCCGACAGTGGGTATACTGTATGTGTATAATGTGGATACTGTCTGAGTGTAATGTGGGTATAGTGTGGGTTTACTGTTGTGTCTAGTGTGGGTATACTGTATGTGTGTAATGTGGTTATACAGTACGTGTGTAATATGTATACTGTATATGTGCAGTGTGGATATACTGTATATGTATATTGTGGGTACACTGTATATATGTAATGTGGATACTGTATGAGTGTAATGTAGGTATACTGTTGTATCTAGTGTGGGTATACTGTATATGTGTAATGTGGGTAAACAGTATGTGTATCGTGTGGGTAAAGAGTATGTGTGTAATGTGGGTATACAGTATGTGTGTACCTAATGCGCTATATTTTATTATATTCGTACAAATAGGGTAATAGATAATTAACTCGTCGAGTACCGTCATTATAGACACAATTATAGAACAATAGGTTGCGGTCACCGGTGACCGCTTGGTGTTTGACAGTTTAATTGAAGCCACTTGAAGTTTCTGACATTGCTAGTGAACGTGTTGAAATGTTTTTTATACTATTTTACAAACAAGATTCATTTTGGTCAAGAATTTCGGGAGTTATTTATTTATGGATTGAAAAACCAACAGCTACACATAGCAAACAAATATAATTATAAAATAATACCAGAAAGCCAATTACAGGTTTTCACGGATAGATTTCACATTATTCAATTCGTAAAAACACTCACAGTCCAAACAAATACATCGTTTAGGGAAAGAATATAAAAAAAACAACAAGAGCATATACCAACTAAATAAACAACATAAAAAATAAACACACACCAATCATACTACCAACAATAACAAATTAATAATCAACTAAGTTACCCACTTAATTTACTAATCAAATATAAAACTGTAGGGTGAGCATCCTTCGCACCGTAGAAGTCCGCGTTACAAACGGATTTATTGGATAATCCTTACACAAGTTGTTTAAGTCTCTGCTTGCACGCATAATAAAGGAATTCTGCTTATACTTCGTTGAGGAATTTCAAATTAAAATAGTTATATAAAAAAGTTATACCTGTAGATATACGCTCATATACTATATTCGGTGAATTAATTTAAGTAGATGTGACCGTTGGTGTTATACATATAATGTTTTATACTAAAATACTAAAAAAAAACTTTTTGTTACAGTGTCCGCACTTTGTCTCAAAAGCTGATGCAAGCTCTAAATGAGGTAAGTACTTATAGTGTATGGTTTGAACACTGATATCAAAATTATGTACATTATTTAATTTCAGTAAACCTTAAAATAAGAGTGATTAGGAATAACTGATTGTCTAAATTAAAAGTTTACTACTTTATCGGATTTTGACTGTGCATATATGTTACCTGCAAATAGCAGATTATAAAAGAAACTCACACAGACATGAAAAATAAAATTCACAAAAGAATAATGCTTTACAATACTACTACTGTTTGAAATATTCCTACGATAATTTTAAACAATTTCAAAGCAGTTGCAAGTTTGACAGAACACCCATTTAATGCAGTAACAACTAAAATATGTAAACACAAAGTTACACGGCGACACGACTTCACTTAAACTACCACTACAACGTACATAATTCCTACTATTACATAGTTGAAGTGAAACTTTTGCAACATTTGTTCAGTCCCACGTTCATTACAAATTCAAATAATAAGGCTTTGCGTTTATTCAACGTATCATTACGGCAAAAGGCCATGTGCAAGAAATACCTAAAAAAGCACCCTTTCACATTGTTCTTTTCCAACTTTACTAGCAAACTTGTTATTTGTTACAAAACTGTTAATTGTAGTTATTTTTTTGTTTTAGGTAAAGAGTAGTAGAGTGCACTTTCGATCATTAGACCAGTGCCTTTAGCCAAACGTCACTTTAGCGCTTGTCTACAGAGAGAGTAGAAAACTAAATGTATGGCGACGACACTGACAAGTGTCATCGCCATACACGTCAATCCACGTCGAAGTCAATTCCATATAATTTGGTTTTCTATTCTATATGTGGACAAGCGCTAAATGGCATTTGCCTACACCTGCAGGGTCGTTATTTTATGAAACCAAAATAAATACAGTATGATGAAACCCATTAGAAAAGGAGGTTCATATGATAAAAATGAAAGAAAAAATAAGGAATAAGGAGATCGGGAAGTGGGAGTGAGCTTTTAAGGGTTAATATAGTTTATCTTGATTTCTGGCAAAACTACAAGTCCTATCCAAAGTCGATATTTTTTTACATACGGCACCATATTATATTTGTATCCATTTAATAGGCAGTAGAGATTTTATTGAACAAAATCTTTTACTGTTTTGATTTTTTAATGTCATATCTTTCAACTGGTAGTCAAGGTACGTTTACGGACTCACTTCTTTACGTAGTGTTTATGGCATTTTTCGTGAAGATTTTTTATATGGTGTATATTTTATTTTAGACCATTACAAAGTAGAGATTTATTTGTAAAACTGAATATTTTGTCATAAAATGTTTTGGCTGAAAAAGAAGATGCTCTTTCAGACACGGTTTTAGGCATTTTCTGAGACAATTCACCCATTGGGGGTACTTCGTCATCAGATTCCAAGTTAGACAAGGTGTAGGCAAGAAATAATAGTCTCAACACTGATTGTAATCGTCTATTAACAAATTCCCAATAATAAATTAACAAAATCTTAATTGATTAAAGCGATGGAAACAGATTAACTTCGGAAACGCGGTAAGTTCGGTACGGGTTGGCAGAACGACCGCTCACCCTCGTGTCCAACTCAAAAGTGACGCCTTTCAAATGTAAACATGCCACGCTCCGTACCGACCTCACCCAAGCACACTGCTTGACGTTTCCGACAAATGATAACAGATGGCGTTGTTCTAAAATAACGATACTCGATAGTTGTGCATCTTTGTTGATTCTGCGACATACATAATTTATTTTTTTCAGCGCACCGTTGTGTCCTTAACTTTAAAAGTTTGACGCGAGGTTTTTCATCTGAAAATAAGTCTACTTTTCAATTTTAGGTACATAAATGAAAGAGAGAAAATGTAATATTTTCAACAAAAATGAAATTATATGCTTTAAGGACATAAAAATACGTCACCATAAACTTTGTAAAAAAATAAAGAAGATGAGGAAGATAATAATAAAAAAAGGTAATATTTCGAAATTTCATGTCAATTTTGTGAAAATGATTAAAAGTGTAAACATAAAGGTTGTAGATCTTCTACAATTTTGCAATTGACCTTTTTCATAGAACTTGAAGTTTTGCCGCACTCCTACAACAAAAGCTCACCCCTCCCACTTCCCGATCTCAAATCGACCGTAATTTATTTTTCCTTTCATTTTTATCATATTCCCTTCCTTTTCTAATGGGTTTCATCCTACTGTATTTTTTTTACTTTTTACTATTTTTGAAGATTTCGGCTCTAGTCTACATTAACAAGAGATTTATGAAGATTTTCATATTCAGAAATGTCGCTCACTTAATGAAATTGAACTCTCTTAAGTGCAACCCGTAAGGGCTTTAGAGTTCTTTTCTTGAGTCAAGTAATCTATTATTGCTACTAGATTTTTCAAATTGACTGAAAACTACACTTTTTTATTGGACAAGCCCGCCACAACCTCTTAAAACCGCTGCAACTCCTATAAGCCAGGATCTACAGTAAAACACCGGAACACTGAAGTCCAGTGTGTCCCAGGGACATGAATAACTGTCTTTGTTCCCGCAACGAAGTGAATCAGAAGATATTATAAGAGGAGAAGAAAGTTTCTGAGATATTTAACATTTTTATTTTTTATCAGATAATCCCGAACTTACTACAAAAATATCAATAAATAAAAAAACTATTGATTTCATTTAAGTGATTTTAGTTTTAATTTGTTGTCAATACACATTTATTAATACCATTATTCAGTTCAAAAGTGACTTTCGCAGATATAAGGAAGCGTGTGCGAGCATGTATTCATCATAGGGAAGGTCACTTAGAACAAAATTGTGTAAATAATGATGTTTTTGAAATGGCCCGATTTCTTTTACACTTTACTTATCATAAAGTATATTAGTTTATTTATTTCTGAGAATTTTATAAATAATTTATTGTTTTTGGGTACCTAGCTAATAAACCAAGGAAGTTTTCCCAATAGTTTGTACGCTTAGTGTAATATCAATTTTTAAACTAAATGCAGTTTTCTATTGACCAAATTCTGATTGTATACAAAATTTGATACTAATTTACTTGCTATTTTAAAACGAATGATATTTTTGAAAGTGTTAGTATTACTAAACGTTCATTGATGTATTGCCAATAAATTAAAACTAAAGTCACGTAAATCAAACTTTATCAAACCAGTAGTTTTGTGTTTAATGATGTTTTTGTAGTTGATCGGGTTGTTTCCACCAAAACGAAAATGTTGAATATCTCAGAAATTAGCCACTTTTGGAGCATGAACCTCAGGGCTATTTTGTAGGAAATTTGTTGTATTATCAACTCCCAAGAGGAATTAGTCGAGTTACAAGTCACCCTGTATAATACCATAGGTACAATAAATACACACACGCACACTAATATGGTTTTAAACAATCATTTTTCTACGACAATCTACGTCATTACTCCCTTCGGCCCAGTTGGTGGGACTTTAACGTCCATTATCAGGAGTGATTATTTCCATACTAGTACACTGACTATACTGGAAGGGAGAAGCATAAGCTTGCGCTAACACTTAGCCTGGCCAAGCTGGTCCAAGAGGCCACAAAGGTGCCCGATGTCGATACGCCCACTACCAACGGCTTAGACTTCTGTCGACAACTGATCCAGATTGCTACTAGGTAGCTCTAACCACTGTCTGGTGAAATCTGTGTCCACACACGCCTCGCCAGGTCCAAATCCTAGAGGACTTCGGTGGTTGTGGCAATACAGATTGGGATGGGATGCGATCTTTTTATACCACTTAAAGGAGAAGGGAATGGCTTCATAGATTCCTACGCCAAGGTGTTAACTGAATCAAATTAGCATTATATATAAGAGGATATAATATCAAGGCTCAACTGAGAATTTGGTGAAATTTGGCTTAATTCCCAAGTTATCTGAATTAAAGTAAAAGTTAGGTTATAGTATAACATTGTGATTGTTTTTGTGTAATTGTTGAAATACTTTTGATTCACTCCCTTCGCCACTGACAAATAACTGTTAAGATCGCTTTATTCTCCAAGACTTTTCTCCCAATAGGATTACTGCGACCAATCGCAATCGTACAATTTATACAGCGATCCATGTCGTTGATATTCAATCGATAGGCGAAACAGTTGTCCAAAATAGAGAGTCAGGTAATTCAGAGTAGCAAGAACCGTCGAATAGTCCGTTATAATATGCAAAGCCGAGGTCGTGGGTTTAAACAATAAAACAAGGAAAATACGTGCGCACTCAGAATGAAAGTAAACAAACAAGTACATCTGTCAGTCATTGTCAATCAAACGCAAGCCGCCAATAAGGGTTGTCAGAAAAAAATAAATACACTATAATCGATTAAATCGATTTCACGAAAGTTTAATGAATTGATATTCATATACTTCTGCCTGCGACTTTGTATGCGCAACCCTGTTGTCAACAACAAACACAACAAAAAAAAGATCAGCCAAATATTCTCAGATTTTAGCGATTTATTAATAATCGATTACCAGGGCTTATTTAATCGATTACTTAGTCTTATTATCTTAATTTAAGTTTTCTCACTTCCTGGGTATAATCCTGGTACCATATTTTGTAATTTTCTTTAGAAAAATGTAACGGTTTTTTATACATATTTCACGTAGTTAAGTTAGTAGCTGCTGGGCGAGGGATACGTGGAGGCATTGGGAGTCACGCTGGATATTTCGAAGGCCTTTCACAGGATATGGCACAACAGTTCTTCCACATAAACAAATGAACAGATCTCCCCTAAGCCGGAGTAAAAAAAAATGTAAAAAAGTTTTTCAAGGGTCCTTCATGGTTCACATTTTAATAAATATTTATGAGATTAGGATTCCTCTCACTGACAATGTCATATACAAGTGTGCATAAAATAACTGATCTGATATAATGTACTTATAATTTACAAACTTATGTAATGTTTCCGTAACTTAGTATGTAAAACAAGACACTAATTTCATCATAATTATGTAACCCAATGGTCTGGTGCGTAAAGTTTATTTTATTACAGGGATCTAACTCTAGCTCGACGCCCGAGTTTGAATTAGAAACAGATGACCACTTGGACCCACCGCTTCGTAAGTAATCATTAGTAATTTTTTGTTAGTAATTTGAATTGTTATTACTTTATTTTATTTTATTATGACTTTTTTTATTGTTTTTTTTTTTCGTTAGGTTAGTGGTGTACGTGTTAAGAATCTGGCTGAGCTTCATAAAATATGAATAAAATGGAGATGTTTTATTTCTAAACTTAGGACGCTACTCAAAAAAGAAAACTAAATATGGGATTTAGTATGTTAATTGACGCCCATTGTAAACGTCGTGGACAAGTGTAATAAATCAGAGGAGAATTTTGATGAAAGACAAAGTCTTTATCTTTTGGTTAACACTGAAAATTGAGAAAGAAATTCAATAGTAACTTAATAGCTACTTATCTCTATATCAGCCAAATGGTTGACTGGTAGAGAAGTTCAAATGGAATCAAGTCCCCCTAAATACATGTCTGTGATACGTACTTCTTTTTAAAAGCTGATCGTTCACCATCAGGTGGTCAGTCTGCTAGTCTATGTCATTATTCCTGGTGGCCGATACTGGCAGCCAAGGAACGATTATCAGGTTAATTTCCTACTGCTTCACAAAAAAGTGATTGTATTTCTTACCTTCATTTCTTTTTAAACTGTCAAACACCAAGCGGTCACCGGTGACCGCAACCTATTGTTCTATAATTGTGTCTATAATGACGGTACTTGACGAGTTAATTTATATTTTAATTCCTAATTATTATTTACTTAATTTACTTTTATATGCCGTTTTAAGTTATATAATTATCTAGTGTAGCGACTCAGTTAGTTTTAAATACCATTTAACATTGACCATTCAAATAATTATTTATAGTGCCACAATAGACTTATCTTCGGAAGAATCACAAATGAATTCTTCTTACAGCTGATTAACCTTTTGAAATTTTAGAAAATTATTTTTATATACATATATTACCCAATAACGTTACTGGCTATGCTATAAAACTTGTACTGAACCTGTAACCGAGGGCTGAGCTCGCTGTCATTGCAGAGGTAAGTCCCCTCTTTGAGGAGTGGCTTAAGAGACGCCACGGCGTTCTCACCTACCGCCTGACGCAGGTGCTTCCCAGACACGGAAGATTCGGTAGGTTCCTGTTTCGGATTAGGCGGGAGGAAACGCCCGGCTGTCTTCACTGCGAGGATCGCCCCGAGGACACGGTAAAGCATACGGTGGCGGTGTGTCCTGCATGGGCTGAACACCGTCGTGTCCTCAGGGATGTGATCGGCGACGGCGACCTCTCGCGTACGGGGACGGCTCTCTCAAGGAACCATCAGACCATCACAGGTGGGGCCCAACAAGGCTGATGCCGATACGGAGCCGCGGAAGACTTAACGGGTTGCCGGGGCTCCGGCTCGAAGTGCAGGAGTAGGAACTGGGTGGTTTTTAGTCAGTAAAAGTCTGACACTCCCTCTCGCCTCACCCGGGCGAGAGACGACATTGGATGATTTTCCCCCCTCCAAAAAAAGGTACTAGAAAGAGAGAAAATAATAGACCGAAAAGTAAAGTGGCTTCCGATGATATGTCTGCCTTAGAAAACATTATTTATAAAGCTCATTCATTATTCATTGTAGAAGTAGTTCCATAGCATATATGGGCTTCGCCTAACCAAAAGATAAAAATAAATAAATATAAAAAAATCTGCAATAATAATCTCAACAAGAAAACACAAACAAGTAATTTAGTTAAGAATAGCTTTAAAAACGAATGATTGTTTCACTTTAACATATCTAGTGGACGAAATTCAAAATGATCTACATTTTCACGATTTTGACCATGAGAACGACGTACTAAATGAGGATATTGAGGAGAATGGCAATGTTGAGGAGGACGACGAAGAAGAAATGGAAGCTGATGATCAGGAAGAAGACCATAGGAATGACGAAAATAATGACAACGAACAAGAGGACGAAAATGATAACGAAGACCATGAGGAGGTGATCCGACTAGAACGCAATGTGAATGGAATTTAGACTAAGTTGTAATGCGATTATGAATAGCACACTGCACACAAAGGTACTATGCATGAATTAAGTAATGACTAGCTAATATTGGATAGAGTTCCTATAAATTGTGACGATGATTTGAATTAACAAAAACATTTAATTGGGTAGAAACGGGTTCAATTTAATCAAAATGGAACTGATCCCGATTGAAATATGGCTTTTTAATGTCATATTGTTATTGTTTACCTAGATTTCGAGAAATCCAATGACTTTGGTTTCATATAAACAAGTGTAAAATTTATTGATCTCTAAAGAAAAGAAGGAACATTAAAATACAAATATTTAAAAGTTTGTATGACTAAAAAATGGAATTGATATTTTTTATAATAACTATCGTCAGACATACTAAGTTGACTAAAAATCACATGAATATACTGAAAAAAACTCTAGTCTAGTCTAGTTTCCGATCTTAAATTTTATGATACATAAATGTCTAAGAATGTCAATATGTTGATAATTGTCATTGAGAGAGCTAAACGTTTTATTATGTACGTCTTATGTCAGCATGCGGACGTAAACTATTAGCTAGTTGCATTACTTAATAGGTAGAGTAATTATAGGAACTATTTATCTTTGTATAAAGTTTGGTATTATATGACTTATATTATTATTATATACCTTGAATAAGATGAATGGGTAAACTATATATACTGTGAAATCTATTTCGTTTTCGTCCTGAAGTAAAATGGTTGTCTCGATAAAACAATAGTTTTACAAAAAGCAAACTTACATTTTCAAAACATCACGCAGTGTAATTCGTGAATATGTAATCTTTGGCGCGTGGCATGTGCGATGCGAGTAGTGGCTACATTACGTCTGGTGTTCCATCAAAGAAAAAAATTTGAAATTAAAAAACATTACATCTTTATTTTTTGTTTGTTCTTCATATATCGAAAGTACTCCTTACGGCAGGTGGTTATGGCGCCTCCGGAGCAGGTCTCTTCAGAGGACCCGGTGCCCCTTACAGGTGCTGAGGGTGGCCACCGGGGTGGTTTTAGTGAGGTAAGAATCCCACACTCCCTAGTCTTTCTCCCCAAAAAGGTAGGCGCCTTTTGAAGGTTTCCCCTCGACATCAAAAAAAAAAAAAAAAGTTGTTATGGCGCGTGATGAAAACGAAATAGATTTCACGGTGTATAATATAGGTACACAGCCACTCCACGTAGGTGATAATATAATTATATAGTTCGATCGCTTAACTTAATATTTAGTAGTATGCAGTGCATGCTGAAACTGCGAAAATAAATTGTATTTTATATTGTATAAGAGATTGTATTAGGTAGGAATTGTATTATGAAAATCAGTAATTATGTAAATACTAGTTTAATATTACTATTATATTATACCAGTATACCAGTATATAGAATTATAAAGGCACACTCTTTCTTATTAGTTTATTCACAAGATATTATTGATGCACCACTTAGTAGTTTGCATTAAACTATAATATATATAAATTGAATATGCATACTTTCACTGTCATGTTTGATCTAATAATTTCATAAATATTTCACAAAAAAATATCAAAAGCATGGTATGTACGTAATTATATATTTAAATAGTAATAATATATATACATATATATATATAACAAAAATATATATATAACAAAATATATATATTATTATTACTATTTATTTATAGTATATAATAGTATAATATATATAAAGCGAAACTAGAAAAGTAGAAACCTAGGTGTTACAACACAAATTTGATTATACAACTTATCATATTACTAGATACATATATAATAGGTAGATGCATTTATACAGTATATTACTATAATATACAAGGTGTTCAGCAAATACTGCCTCGTTGGCCGAGTGGTCGCAAGTGCGACTGCCGAGCAAGGGGTCTCGGGTTCGATTCCCGGGTCGGGCAAAGTATTACTGGGTTTAAAAAAAAAACTCAGTAGTAGCACGGAGTCTGGAATGGTGCCCGGTATATGGCAATAGGCTCACCCCCTATTACATGGGACTCGTAACATAAATAGTGAAAAGTGGGTGTTACATTGTACAGTGGCATAATGTGCACCTCTGCCTACCCCTTCGGGATAAAAGGCGTGATGTTATGTTTTATGTTATGTTCAGCAAATAGTGCACAATACTGTGAGGGGATTATTAGTACAATTATTCTGCCTTTCCAAACCACTATTAAACGAAGTAGTTTTCACCTACCTACATATTTTTCCACTACTGTAAATTGAAGTTTAGCGAAAAAGACGTATCCACGAATATTTTGGCGTACAACATAACTTCCCGCCTTTCCAATTTGTTTCAATTCCTCTGCCAATCCCCGAAGGGGTAGGCAGAGGTGTACATTATGACACTGTACAATGTAGTAACACGCACTTTTCACAATTTATGTTATGAGTCCTATGTAATAGGGGGTGAGCCTATTGCCATATACCGGGCACATTTCCAGACTCCGTGTATTGAGAATGTTTAAAAAACCCAGTAATACTTTGCCCGACTCGGGAATCGAACCCGAGAGCCCATGCTCGGCAGTCGCATTTGCGACCACTCGGCCAATGAGGCAGTCATGACGTACAACTTACTAAAAAAAGATTTGTTCAGTGAGATACGCTAAAAGATGTGTGTCAAAGTAGTGATTTGTCGATATTTGCGAAAATGTGGTATAATATTGAAACAGTACATTTACGCTGAGCATCTACTGGGTTGTTTAAGTAGGTATTGATTCCAGCTATCTCTCTCACAGTACGGTGCACTATTTACTGGACACCTTCATAAATAAGTACACTGTACATTATGAATGACACCAATATCACTAATCTCTTATATGACATTTCACAAAAACAATATTTTGTTTCCAGATGATTGTGTGTACTATTCTCTGAAGAGATTGACTAAACTAGTCAGTGTTTTTTATAAGAAGAAACTGATCGTGCTTTGTAATGTTTAACTATGGGAGAAAATTAATTGAGGAACTACTATGGGCAAACCATATGAGCTAAGGAAGTGTGCCATGTACTTAGAATTTGTAAATATAGCAGTATAATTTGAATCATAATTTAGTATAGTAATTGCATTTGCCTTTCGAATGTATAATTAGCGTTTTATTTTTATAACACATAATAATTCTGTCTCGTTGTTGGCCGAGTGGTCGCAAGTGTGGCGGCCGGTCAGGCAAGGGGCTTGGGTTGTTGCGGCGTCCCGCTCGGACGCTGCTCATGGCACAGAGGGTCATGGCGATCCGAATGATCCGCGGATACCGCACGATCTCTGGGGAGTCGGCGAACCTCCTTGCCGGATTACCGCCGTGGGATCTGGAGGCGAAGGTGCTCGCGCGCGTGCACAGCATGCGCGCGGAGGCACGTCGCCGGGGCGAAACTCCGCTGCCGCGCCAGATAAGTGCGTGGCGGGATGAGCTCCGGCGCGATCTCATGGCGGAATGGCAGCAACGACTGTCGCAACCGAGGGCTGGGCTCGCTGCCATCGCAGCGGTAAGTCCCCTCTTTGAGGAGTGGCTTGAGAGACGCTACGGCGTCCTCACCTACCGCCTGACGCAGGTCCTCACCGGACATGGAAGTTTCGGGAGGTACCTGTGTCTGATGGGGCGGGAGGAAACGCCCGGGTGTCATCACTGCGAGGACCGCCCTGAGGACACGGTGGAACACACGGTGGGAGAATGCCCTTCGTGGGCTGAGCACCGCCGTGTCCTCAGGGAAGTGATCGGCGATGGCGACCTCTCGCGTCCGGGCCTAGTGCAGGCCATGATGCGGAGCGAGGGGGATTGGGATGCCGTCTCCTCCTTTTGCGAAGCAGTCATGCTAGCTAAGGAGGAGGCGGGACGCGTGAGGCAGCGAAGCGCTGCCTCCTCGCAACCCAGCCATCGCGAAGGACACACCGGGCGTCGGGGATCGCGGGACGATCTCCGGCCACCGTAAGCGCGGGCCTGCGGACGGCGAGCATGGGTGGCTCCCCGTCCGACCAGAAACAGACCCGAGCGTACGGCGCGTCGCGTTCCGCGCGCGCCTCAAAGAGCCATCAGACCACCACAGATGGGGCCCAATAGGGCCGATGCCGATTCGGAGTCGCGGAGAACCTAACGGGTAACCGGGGCTCCGGCTCGACGTGCAGGAGAAGGAACGGGGTGGTTTTTAGTCAGTAAGAGTCTGACACTCCCTCCCGCCTCACCCAGGCGGGGGCAGTCATTCGATGATTTTCCCCCCTTAAAAAAAAAAAAAGGGGCTTGGGTTCGATTCCCGGGTCGGCAAAGTGTTACTGGGTTTTTAGAAAAAATCTCAGTAGTAGCACGGAGGTTGGAATTGTGCCCGGTATATGGCATTTTTCCAAAAAGGTAGATAGGTGCAAAATGGAAACCGAAATGAGCACATCAAAATCTACAAAATTGCCGATTTTCAAAACTCCTGGAAAAGATTCCAAGTAAAACTACCAAATTGGTGAACTATATTGGCAAATTTCACCGAAGTTGGCGCATTTAATAAGGATTATAAAATTGTATACCCTGTATATAAAAGGTTTTTCACTACGTGTCTTCCAAACTTTATGTTTATGTTAAACTTACTATATTACATCGCTCGAAAGTATAACATGATTTTACTGGTTGACATATTTCAAAATAATCAAAATAAGCCATTTGGAATTGCTTAGTTTAGTTTAATGATCGCTTAAATTGTTATTCCGATGGGGACTTCTTCCATCATACACGGTGTTACTTCTGCGTTTAGTTTTGATATTGTCAACTTGGGATCAGCAGCAATAGAAATGAGAATAGCCTATTAGACCGATATATCTTTGACAACACACGTCATTTGTTAAGGGTTCATACGCACTATGCGGGTAGCCGCATAGCGGCTAGCCGTCCGGCTGATCGCAAGCACAATTATGTACGTAATATTCATTTCAATGCGCACTGCGGTCGCTCGGAGGAGGTCGGCTTGCGGCCTGAGTGATGGCACTGGCAGCCGGACGGTTGCTATACGCACTGTGCGGCAGTGTGCGGTTGAGTCTGCGGCTGCCCGTCATTGTGTGCACGCGGTACGTCTGGTAAAATGGAATTCGATGCTTGCTCTCTCGTGTTTGCAAATATGGATGCACCCAGTACTTCTTTCTTTATTTTTTTTCTTTACGTAACGTGTGTAAATGTAGTAAATAGCTGCAACTTCTTCCACGTACATTTTTGAAATGGATTGACATGACCGCAAATCGCAACGGTTCTTCACCCGCACGTTTTTGGAAGACCTAAATAATATTTTACAAACTTTTTCACATAGCTACTATGTACTACATATATTTGAATTAAGAACGTAATCTGTATGAACTCTACCGCCCGAATACTGAAAGGCTACTCAATTTTAAGATGTATTTATCGTGCCGTCTAAAAAGGATTCGAAAAACAATAAATTATGAGACGACAATGCTTGCCTATCATGGCTATGTATCGTTCGTACTTCGATAGTGGAGGTTGATAGAAAAATGTCTTTAAATACCAAAAAAACGCATTCGAGCAATATGTGGATTTTATCCAATATATTTTGCAGACTAATATTGTAATTTTTCAGGTTTTCGTTTGGAGTTTGTGTGTTATCCACGATGCTTTCATCGTTGAAGTTATCAGCATCGCTTTTATTGCTAGATACTGTATTTTGTCGCATTGGCTCAGTTGAGGGTTTGTTGACCGACGAGGAAGGAGAATTTTGAGGTCGTATTGGTGTGTTAATGTTATCCGACTTTGGGGTTTTGCAACGGCAGGACTGACAATTCCTTAATGTTTTCTGTGCCTTTGACATTAATTTGAATTTTTGCGGAGTGATATTAGCGCATTCTAAGTCATAATTCTCGTGACATAGCGGGCACGAGAGAAACTGCTGTGTTTTAGCGATTTTTTGTAGGCATCCAGCACATAGTAACGCCATATTTCACTTTAATCGATGTATTTATTGATTATAAAAATAATAAAATTTATTTAGGTCCTAGAGAGTGCCCTCTTTTAGTTGTTACTCGGTACTAATTTTTTAATTTAAGTTCTCGATAACAGATGGCGCTGTCTTACTCCTGTTTTGAGATTTCACTTTTAAATTTGTTTAAATCTGTTTAGTTTTACACGTAGCTAGTAACTTCCATTTGTTAATCTGTTCACCATACTATACATTTATATTATATTAACACTGATCATGTTTTAAGTTTCACAATGTTTAATTTACTTTTATTAATAACGCAGGTATTTTGAGTTTTGTACGTTAAGTTAAATAATTATTTGGTTTTACTGGTTTCAAGTTATACACTGTCTTTATATTACTGCTTGCTATGTTTTTTATATCACTATGATCTTATATTTGTAAATTTATCTTATGTTAGTTAGACAGATGACGACCAAAATTTTAGTCTCATAGCAATACGGCCAAAACCGCCTCGAATCGATAGATACGATTATCCTGAACTCGAAAATACCAATATCAGACATTTTCCGCGTAGCGTTTGATCTGACCACAAAAACACCAGACAAAAAAAATGTCTCATAGCAATACGTCTGAAAACCTTTTTTATTAGTAAAGGAGAAGGGAATGGCTGGAATATATTCCTGGAATAGATTCCTGGGCCCAGGTGTTAACTAAATGAAATTAGCCTTATATGGAAGAAGATATAATATCAAGGCTTAACTGAGAATTTGGTAAAATTTGGCTTCCTAGAAACCAAGTTATCTGAATTATAGTAAAAGTAAGTTAGTTATAGTATAACATTGTGATATTTTTGTGTAATTTCTGAAATACTTTTGAATCACTTACTTCGCCACTGACGAATAACTGTTAAAATCGCCTCATTCTCCAAAACTTTTCTCCCAATAGGATTACTGCGACCAATCGCAATCGCACAATTTATACAGCGATCCATATTGTCGATATCCAATCGATAGGTGTAACAGTTGTCCAAAATAGAGAGTCGGGTAATTCAGAGTAGCAAGATCTGTCGAATTGTCCGTTATAATATGCAAAGCCGAGGTCGTGGGTTTAAACAATAAAACAAGGAAAATACGTGCGCACTCAGAATGAAAGTAAACAAACAAGTACATCTGTCAGTCATTGTCAATCAAACGCAAGCCGTCAACAAGGGTTGTCAGAAAAAAATACACTATAATCGATTAAATCGATTTCACGAAACCTTAATGAATTGATATTCATATACATATTAGCTTCTATCCGCAAATTCGTACGCGCAATCAAGCGAGCAAGCGCTCTTAACTCGTCGAGTACCGGTTTTTGTAGACACAATTATAGAACAATAGGTTGCGGTCACCGTTGACCGCTTGGTGTTTGACAGTTTAACAATAACAAACACAACAAAAAAAGATCAGCCAAATATTCTCAGATTTTAGCGATTTAATAATAATCGCTTACTAGGGCTTATTTAATCCTGGGTAGAATCCTGGTACCATATTTTGTAATTTTCTTTAGAAAAATGTAACGGTTTTTTTGAGACATATTTCACGTAGTTAACTGCTGGGCCCAGAAGTCCCCCTCTCCTTTTGGTTATTTGATGCGAACAATACAATTTTCAGACGGAAATGTGAACGCATTAAATATTGAGACCGTTTTGAAAATGTTAACAAATTTTACCAATCGGTATCATGGCAATATGTCTGAAAATTGTTGGACGTGATAAAATAAGTTGTCCACATGCGCAAAAAATGTATATCAGACAAAATAACTGTAGCACCTTCTCTATCAGACAACCTTTCGATACTCAGATATATTTGACACAGCAGAAATGACCTCCCATGCAGTTGCTACACTTACGACCGTTACTACACACCTAGTCGGGTTCAGAATCATACGATCTAACGATTTTATAGGGTTTTTGCCGTATTGCTATGAGACATGGTTTTGGTCGTCATCTCTCGTACTATGTACTTACTTATACGAAGGTAGTAGAATAGGTGCCCAGTAGCTGTAAGTGTGAACACAAACAACATTACTGAATTGAGATTATAAGCAGAATTTACGATCCTCGAAAGGTAAGCGTAAGAAGGATGGGTATCATTGCTATATTTAGCTACCATCATTCCAATCACCAGCCAATCACATAATGGTAAGCGTTCACTCTGATATTGTGTCTCATTTTTGTTTATTGCAAGATACAAGTAATTTATAATTTTATTCATTTATCTTTGAAATTGTTAATGGTTTGTTGTGTTTTAGACGAGCTACCTTTAATGAGACACATCTGCGTACAAGCAGTGCCGGACTCCGTAGCTATTCCTGAAGGAAGGACGTTAATACTTAATTTTGAGTTTTTAACCATTTACCCAATGCGTGATCTTAGAATGGAATGGCGAATTGGGACGGTAATATTTCAGCGCACCACCTTCTCAGTGAGTCTATATTAATTCTAATTAGGTAGTTATTAACACAGTTATGTATGTACCTATATAATTAGTAAAAACATGTATACCTACACTACGTTAAGTGTGGGAGAGCCATGCTTGGGCACGAATGGGCTGGCTCGACCGGAGTGATACCACGGCCTCACAAAAAACCGACGTGAGGCAACGCTTGCGCTGTGGTTCATCGTGTGAATGAGGATCAGGTGATCGGTCTACTCGTTTACCAGATTATGCCATAAAGAGAAAAAAACTATATGAAAATCAGGTTCAAGCCAATCAGTCAATTTTCGTACAATTTTCTTATTCTACTTGCTAGTTATCTTACGAGTACCTATACATAGAGTTCCTGAAAAGATTTTCGATTTAACATTCTTTACCACCCAATCTTCAACTGTCAGAGAATGCCTACGGCATTAAGTCCACCAATTTCACAGTGTATGTGCAATAAAGTTTAAAAACTTTTTCCTAACAATAACGAACATGACATAAATATAATTATCCAATTCGCCTTCACAGTCATTTGACAGTTATGGGCAGACATACATTTTGGTGATCCATTTTTATTAATATACATTTAACACTCCGTAGATGATAAAAACTATAAAGTATTACACATTAAGATTCTTGAATCGTTACTCTTTAAGGGATAAGTGGCTTGATGTTATGTGGTCAGTAAATCAGCCACTGGACATCCACTGCTATAGATCGGCCTGATGGATGAGACTTGCATCCCGTGTTCATTTCTCAATTCTATTTAGGGGACGCCTATGTCCTACAGTGGACATCCTGTGGCTGATATAATTATTAAGACGTGAAGCAACCGGTCGGGTGGGCTCGTCAATGTGGCCGCGAACAACAGTGCCAGGGGAACTCTGTCTACAAGTATACAGACGGCAAAATTTCCGTTTTGGGACACACTATTTATGGCTTTCGTTGAAAGACTGCCTCGCCCCACTGTGTGCTCCGGCTCCCTCAAGTGTAATATTTCAATTAATAAATGTAATTATTTCAGCAAAAAGGGCAATTGATTACCGCTAAGCTGGTGATACGGAAGGTACGACCACAAATGACTGGAAAGGTCCTTGGTTTTCTCTCTGTAAGGACAAGGACAAGCGTTAAGCTACTTTCAATAGTTCAGAGCTCCTGTGTGGTGTATGAATATAGAGACAAATGTTCCCGATTTTACGTAAGTACTTATATACCTCTATAAAAACGTATAGAATTTAAATGTATAGAATAGAATTGAATAGAATATCGTTTTTCTTGTATCGTGTGTGCTACTACGAACATAATATAAATTCACATACATATTATACTTAACAATATGAGAATTAAGTAATTAATAAAATAATAATTAAGTAATGAATATTGCTTAGTGACTCATTGAAATATACTTATACGGCTATGAATTTATGAATAAACTTTGGACTAGTTACCAGTAGCTATATCACTTATAATTATACAGTAACTAACACATTGTTTTGTGCGATAATATTATTATAATTGCTTGCTAACCTGCGACATGTTCACTCACGTCACGAGCAGTCAGTCGCCCACTGTGCAGAAAAGTTGATGTATAAAAAATAACAATACTCGATAATATGTATTGCATAATACATGCAATAACGAGCTCAAGTACAAAATAGCATTCCTAACAGCCTAACTTCAAAATACTAAAACTCTTAAACTCCATAAAAGAAAAACAAAATCTGGTACAAGCCGCTTAACCAACCAACATAAAGCTATAATTCAAAATCAAAGCATTGAACTAAATTGAAACTACACTCATTCATGCATTTAACCCGACTGGAAACCAACCAAAATATAAAGTTAATATATACTCTCTGCTAAAAGGAATAAGGTTGTATTTTGAAAAGTTCGTATGTACGGGACGTAGAATGAGACGCTTTCAGTGAGAAGTAACAAGTTGTTGCCCCGTCCCCAAGCTCCGGGTGAATGGAAACTATGTGCAGTTTACGTCAAGCCCACGAGCACTTCATACTCCCTGACTTTTTAATACGATTCAGCAAAGAGTTTTTATTGAAATGATACTTATATTTCAACTATATAAGAAATGGGGCCTTACTAAGCCCGGGGTGGTGGACGAGGTGAGTTCGCAGCTAATATTGGCGAATTTGAAAGTAATTTGATCACGTCATTTGGATATTTGAAAATATTATTCCTTGATAACTGTTACGTTTCTCCCATCTTAGTGGGGTTGAAGCCAAGTGCTTTTAAATGATCCTACTATTTAAAATTTTGCGATTAAGGCGGCATGCATTTAAATGTAATAACTGCTTTTTGAAGAAGGAGGTAAGTAGAGGAACTGATATGTAATGTGCTGAGACTATTGTAAAGGGATTTTGGAACAACGTCCGTAGTGGATAATACGATTGGGATAGTTTTGGTCTGAGTACCATTCCACTGTGTTATTAGTTCTATGGATACATCTGTGTATTTTGCAATTTTTTTGGATTGTGTGTTTACAAGGTAATGTGTGTTACATATGGCAATGTCTACGATATAAACTAATTTATGTCTTTTGTCTAACATTGTATTATCGGGTCTATTATTGTATATAGATTTATCTGTAATTATGGTTCTATCTCAATACAATTTGCAGTTTTCATTTTCTAGTACAGCTTGTGGTTTGTGTTTATAATATGCTATTTTTTCTGTAATCACTTTTGTTTGGTTTAGCCAAGGACTAATGAATTATTGAAGCAACTTGGTCGTGGCGACAGTTATAGTCGGTTTGGGCTATGGCTCTACGTGCTCCCGTGATGTGCTGAATGGTCTATGAAGCACCATGGCAACGTCTACAGGAGCCATTATAGTTAGGTCTATGGATTATACATTTCTGCTAGTTAGCTGTGTCGATGACTTGATCCTGTATGGAAATCATAAATCCCTTCGTTTCAGGGAAGGGTTCACTTCGCAACAGCCACGCGTTCGACGCTTTCATGTCGACACAAGGTTGCTGCAGGTTGAGGCGATGTCTTCCATCGGGAGATAAAATGGCAGCTTGGGCACATAAGCACAAGCTGCCATTTTATCTGCTTTACTGACTATGAATTCGTTGGCCTGCGTGTAAATTGAGCGGAGTGTGGTGCTTGTTAAATTGTGAAATAGCTCTATGAAAAGGAGATTACTCAGCTTTCTGCAGGAAAAACTTTCTTAAATTGATGATTTGTTGGTTGTGTACGTTTGATACATCTATGAGGCCGCGTCCTCCTTCGTCTCTTGGCAGTGTCAATCTCTGTACACAGGACCGCGGGTGGTGCGTTCTATTGGTGGTCAAACAAGTATTAATTAATCGTTGAAGTTTGATGAGATCAGTTTTTGTCAATTTTATAATCCAAAAAGAGTAAGTTACTACGGGAAAAAGGAAATGGGTTTATGGATTTAACGAGATTACGGGATGATAGCTGCGATCGTATTAGCACGTTGAATCTTTCTTTGTTCCATCTATCAACGTCTCGGCCCAACGACTGTCGGATCAGGTGCGGGTCATCCAACGCAATCGCAGGTTGGATGAGGCTGCGCTTGATCGGCTACGTCTAGAAGCACTGCGCAATCTTGTCATCCCCGCACCACCACAATCGGTGGCACAAACACCTGTAGGCTGTAGTCTCACAATGTGCTACGCCAACCACCCCTATCGTTGGAGTGGAGGATGACAGGGTTGAACAAGTGAGTACTCAGTGCAATGAACGACTGAGGAGTGCTTTGGAGGATGCGGTTCGTGAGTATAGACTTGCTCCTAGTAATTTAAGACCGAAATTACCACGTTTGCCCATGTGTAGAAAAAATAGGGCGCTGGTGAGTGCCTTGGATTCGCTACTTAAAAATATTTTGAGAGTAGCGAAAACCTTTATGATACACACTCAATCTTGTACTGTGGAGCGGTAGCTGCTTGTCGAGTGGCTAACGTCAGATTTCCAAATCTTGACGCAGCAGTCCGACCAAAACCAGCAGTACCTTCCTGGCAGTATAGGATAGAGCGTCGTATCAGTGAGGCCAGGGTACTCATTGGCAAACTATCCTGCTTCAGGGAGGGCAATACTCGCCCTAGAGTGATGCGCTTTGTAAGACGTGCATTTGTGGGGACTGGAATCAGTCCTCATGAATTCCTGTCGCGTGTTACAGAGCGCATCGACTTCCTGAAGCAGAAAGTTTATGCATGGGCAAACCGTATCAGATGGTACAAAAAAAGAGTGGAGCGCTATACTCAGAATCGCATGTTCCAAAGAGATCAGAGGTGGGTATACAGAGATTGGGAACGATCCAACCAAGATGTGGCTGACGGGCGGCGACCAGATGATGATGCCACTAACACATTTTGGCGCAACGTCTGGTCGGTGCCTGTTAGCCACACAGAAGGTGACTGGATGTTTGATGTTAAGCGAAGGCGTGAGACTATACCAGAGATGGAGGAGGTAGTAATCACCTCCTCTGATGTAGCCAGTGCAGCCTGTTCGGTCCCGAATTGGAAATCACCGGGGCCGGATGGACTGCACTATTTCTGGATTAAATGGCTCAAAAGTTCACACGTTCGCTTAGCATTACACTTCCAGGCAGCTTTGGAAACTGGGTCGTTACCACAATTTCTAACAACAGGAGTTACCCACCTGCTCCATAAATTAGGTAGTTCCACTGAGCCCAAAAATTATAGACCAATCACATGTTTACCAACGGTCTATAAACTTCTTCTGGTATACATAAATGACCTATGTAACCTCAAACTACAGTGTGGCACTATTGTATCATATGCGGATGTCACTGCTCTGCTGTTTTCAGCAGGTTCTCTTACAGAAGTTCAAAGCTGTGCACAGCAAGGGTTTGATGTCGTAAATAATTGGCTTAAAATAAATCTACTAACAATAAATACTGATAAGACAAAATTTATAAAATTTAATATGCGTAAACCTCTAGCACGTAATGAATTTCACTTGTATGCGCATAAACCAGAATGCTCAATCTTGACTAACGCTTGTACCTGTCCGGAAATTGTAATAACAGATAACATTAAGTATCTAGGAGTTATTCTAGATGAAACCCTTTCCTTTAAACAACATATCGCTGCATTAACATCTAGAGTTCGGAAATTGATATTTGTTTTTAAAAATTGCGGTTTATTGGCGATCACAAGTTAATTATTCAAATTTATAAAGCCCTGTGTCAATCGATAATCCAATACTGCATTACTTCTTGGGGCGGAAGTGGAAAAACATTGATACTTCCAATCGAACGAGCGCAAAGAGCCATCTTGAAAGTCGCCACGCACAGACCGTACCGCTACCCCACAGGCTTACTGTATGAGTCTAGTAAAGTGCTGACAGTGCGACAATTATTCATACTATCCACTGTACTAAAACAGCATACTACACTTACATATGACGCTAACCTCACTAACGCCAAGAGACGGAAAGATATTGTCTGTACTGCTAGCTATGAATCAAAGTACGTATTTACACATAGATTTTTTGCATTTTTAGGGCCATATCTGTACAATAAAATTAATAAAGAAACCTTGGTTTACAATGTAAATTACACCAGAGCAAAACAGCGCATTTCTCAGTATCTACTATCATTAAGTTATGAAAAAAGCGAGGATTTGTTGATTGTCATGAAATAAATAATATATAGATATAAATAGATAATAATTATTTTAATAAATGCAAGTATAAAGTTAGTGTTTCCTAACTTATGTATACATATGTAGGTTTTGTAATTTTTGGTGACTGTAAAAATAATATTGTTAAGGCTTAGTTATATTATCCTAATGTATAATGCACGCGACCACAAAGCCTGTGGTACAGATTTAATTCTATACAGGCATTTGTATTGTAACCTACCTAGAATAGTTAAATAATAAGCTTTGATTAAGTACATATATGTATGTGAACAAAATGGAAATAAATATATTTGTTTGTTTTGTTTGTTTGTTTGTTTGTTTGTTTGTTCTTACATCCATTTTGAGGACAAAGATAACAAAACATATTGAAAAGAATTCCATCATGTCTGTATCTCAAAATGGATGTAGGGAGGGGTCTCGTGGAACTAAGGAGCTACTCCTCATTGATATGGTTGTTAGCCAACAGGTTCGTCGGTCCCGAATAGATTTGTCTACATGCTGGATAGACTACAAAAAAGCATATGATTCTGTGCCACATACATGGCTCC